CATGCTGATGTTCAATCAACACTTACTCAGTGACTGACGAGATCAATAAGATGGAATGGACAGTGTTGGCAGTAGCAAGGAAAGTATGACTAGTCAGAAACTAGGGCTGATTCTGAATGATTTGGGAAGTCCTGTCTCTAGTAAAACAATCATACAAAAGCTTCTAGTCAGCAAAAACACATTTTCTGTATCTTTGAATCTTACTTATCTTTGCTTCTCCAAATACGTAACCAGACTCAGTGTATTTGATTAGACTGCACTGAATTTGGTCAATTCAACACATTTGTCTTTGTGCAGATGTGACAAGAGCCTGGTGATGCTTATCAAACACACAGACTGTTACCATGGTTCTTACAAGGATGGATAACAGACAAATAGGAGAAAGATTGCTTTGTGGGGAAGATCATCTTTTTTATTAATTACCTTTCCTGATTAAATGCAGACATACTGAAAGAAGAAAGATGGTAAAGGGAATAAATAACTTTACTGGATATGATATTAACAAAACAAGATTTTAATTTCTAAACCATAGCCTTCTAACTACATTTCCTTTCTTGATTAGGTTACTTGCTTAGCTGATGAGGAAATACTGTAGACAGTGTATCTCTGGGCTTTAGCAAGACATTTAACAGGATCTCAAAACAGTGTGATAGCAGAATTAGGAAATTTGTAGGCAGTCATCTAAGTAGCTACTTAGTGTCAACCTGGAGGAAGGTCTGTGATAGGCTGCTTGAAGGACTGGGACGGAAAAGGAGCAGACATGCTCATCAAATTTGTGGATGGCATAAAACGAGAGGCATGACAGAACGTGGAACTGCAGAACTAAGGTGTTTATGAAAATTCTCGACTTGGGGATATAAAGGGAAGGCAACTCTTAATAGGATGGCATTCTAAAGGGATAAATGTTAGGTTCAACAAAACAGTGGGGTAGAGTACAGGATTGGGAGATGTGGCTTAATAACAATATCCATGGAAAAACTTGGGGATTTTAGTTGACAGTCAAATTGATTTAGAGGAAGTTAAAGAAGCTTAAACTTCAAGGTCTTCCACTGGCTTGGTCCTCTACATAGCCCGGTACTTAAAAGTATATTAATAATATGGTTTTCTTTTTCTTAATGGGAGTCTCCAAATTATATAAGTTGCAGAGCTCCTCAAGGCTTGTATTCCTTCTCTGCTAACATGTAATCATCCATGGAGATAGTCAGAAACTACTTTTAGACTTACTAATTAATTAGATTGAAAACTACACAAATCACTGATTCCGGTGGCCCTAATCTGGTCAGATGACTTCTGGAATACTGTCTAGGTTAAATCATGCCATTTTACAAGTTTTATTTATTATTTATTATTAATTA